AGTGAACTGCCCCCCGCGGGGGGGGGTGGGAGCCCGGGGGATGCTGCCCCGTCCCGCTGGTCCTCCCACAGCCCCCGCTCCAGCAGCGTCCCCATGCGTGGCCTTGCTCGCGGAGCGGCCTCTCTGTGTTTTCTTCAGGAAAAGGAAAAAAGTTCCCTTTGCTTACTGCTGAGCTCATTTTTAAACATTTATATTAGGGGGGCTTGCGGGGAGGAGAAATAATTGTGTAATGTCTTAGGAGCAAGGGAGCATTCCAAAAGCATGACTGCGCGGCCCTTTCCAGCACTAACAGTCTGGCAGCCAAGTCTTCCCGGCGGCCGCCAAACCCCCGAAATCCAGGCTCAGCCTCTCAATGCCCCCTGGGACAGCGGGAGCGTGACCCCCGGGTTGCTTCGCAGGGCGCGGGGAGCGGGACCCGGCTGAGCCGCGGCACTGCCACATCTCCAGCGACGTGCTCGGGTCGCGCAGCCGCAGCCGGGGAGTAGCGGCTTTGGCTGTCTGTATTTCACTGAGACCAGTTGCCTTTTATTTTCATTTTGCTGAGTGCCTTTTGGTGTCCACACAGTTTCAATTTATGGTCAGCTCCTCCTTCTCAGCCACAAGTAGTGTAGGTAGAGACTATGTGAGATTTTATGGACTTCAAATTGAACCCACGCTCCTGACAACTGCAGCTTCTTCAGGGAAATGTTTTTTTTAAGTGGAAAATAAGCCAAGTCACTGTCTTCCAACAGGTTATCGGGAGCGTTTAACCAGGCTCACCTCCTAACTTGCTGTTTACACTGGAGAGGCGTATTGACATGAAAAGTAAGGAATGTATTAGCAAATATTGATTGGCGCTGGGGCAGCGGCAGCCAGGCATTGCCCAAGTACAGGCATCTGCTGAGATTGGGGCATGTTATTTGAAGCTTTCAGCGAGACAGTTGTGCTGCCATGAGTCTGGGGAGGCTGTCACTTCCGCGGGAGGTAAAATAAGAACATGGCATGATGTCCTTTGGAGAAGGAGGGAAGGGCAGGCAGCGTTTTCCCACAAAGCTCAAGCACTTGTGGTTCAAGCTTTGTTTAGGCTTTAAAATTCTTCTGTTCCAAGTCCCTTTCTGTGTTTTGCTTGTGGATGTTTTTGTGGGATTTAGCAATGAAAACAACCATCGGGGCTGCTCCGCTCCGGGTCCGGGCAGTTGCACTCTGCTGCTGCGCTGGAGCGCGCTGTAAACCCCGACTGTCCGGCCATGCCCAAAGAAGAGCTCACGATTTTAGGAGAAAATTGGTAAGATCTAAACCCTAAGCACTGAGTTTGGGCTGCTTTTATGGTGGTCACTCCTCGTTTGGCTATGGCAGGTCTAGGTCTTAAGAAGGTTTGGGGCAGCTTTCCTGGGGGTGAATGCAGACACTCCTCGGTGCTCAGCGCCGGCGCTTTGGCAGCGGTGGCAGGCGGACGGGGAGGCTGCGAGCTGCGGGAGCCAGCGTTGCTGGTGCCTGTGGGTCGTGCTCGGGGTGTTGGCGATGGTTGTTGGCGTGAGCTGGAGGCTGTTCTCCTCTGCGCTCCAGAGAAATGCGCGGCTGGGTCTGCCTGGGGGCGGTGCAAGCCTGACACCGCAGATGCTGCTGTGCCAAAACCAGCACCACTTGGATCATCTCGAAGCGGTGATCTGCCCGCGAGCTTGGAGCCCGAGTTCTGCCTTGGCCGTTGTGTTTCCCTCTGGCATTGCTCTTTGCTTCAAGCCCTTTTCGGAACTTTCTTCTCTTCTGTGTAAGAGTCCCTCCGATACTCAAGACACTTGCCAGGACACTTGTCCTGTGCTACCTTGGCCATGATTTAGATGTCTCAGCAAATTAATTTCCCCTCGATGGGCATAGCTGTCAGATTTTAATTTGGGAGTTTACTCTGTTTTTCACTGTCTGAGCTGTGCCCGGGAGTCTTACCAGCTAAAACTGTTTCTGTTGTGAAACAGCGCTGCGGGGTGTTCTGGTAACGCACGTGAATGACCTGTGCACCTCTCTCATTCTGTCCCCAAATGCCTTCCAGTTACTTTAACGTGGGGACAGCTGTGGCCTTGACTGACACACACCCACACACACACACACACCCCCCCACACACACACACTCTCTTTTTCGGGGCTCCCTGCTTGTGCTGATGGGAGCCGTGACCCGTTGGTGGGGCGGGAGGAGAGCTGCTGCGGGGGGTTCCGGAGGGAGGCACCCTCGTGTCCCCCGTCCATGGGGCTGTGGCAGCGCCCGTGGTGGCCTGGGGCTGCCCAAAGTGGCTCTTGTTTGCCCAGTGGTGCCTCTCCGGGGGCCTGTCCCGAGGTGCCCTCCCCCGGGCGGTGGCAGCAGCCCTGTGCACACACAGGGCCATGTTTAGAAGTGGAGACAGCTTGTCCTTGGCTGCGCTGGTTAGAAAACATTTTCTGTGTTCCCTGCTGGTGTTCTGGGCTCTGTGGACACTGTGCGCGGCCTCAGGTCTCGTCTGTATTAGAGGTTGCGCAGCCTGAGCTGAAGGTGTGTGTTTGGGGGTGTCTGAAATCCGGGGACGTGCCTCGTGGCTGCTGGAGCCCTGAGCCCGGGCTGTGCTGCGTTAGCCCCGCTCCGTCCCAATCCCGACCGAGCACTCGGGTGCTTTTGTTTGTTAAACCAGTGAAAAGTTCAGCAGAGCTGAGGACACAGCAGCGCCAGGGAGATCTCGGTCTGTTCAAAGTGGTTTTCCTTCTGTGGTTGTGTCGTGGCACCGGGGGGGTCCGGGCAGGTGCCGGGACCAAGACGATCACTGGGGCAATG